AGCTCAGATGAGGATCAAAGGCAGATGAACATGCAGAGTCTTCCATGGACAAAGGGAGTCTGACTCTCATGATCCCTCAGATTTATACTGGATATGACATGTATCAGGTGGAATACTTTGGTCCCTTTGGGTCACCTGTCTGGTCCACTCCTCCCTGCAGGAGGGTCATGGGTGTGACCCCTTTTCTCCCTTTCGTTTCTGGCGCACAAGAAGCTCTGCAGAATTAAGAAGTGACCTTTATCCTGCACACCCTTCTCCAGCAGTAACTATAAACATTGAGCACAATCAGTCCTAGAAGCAAACACTGACTGAGAAACATGCTGTTAATTTCAGGAACTGCAGTTACTTAGAAGACACTTAACTGAAGCAAAATTACTAGAAAGAAAATAATTTCTGTCCTGCCTCAAACCAGGACACCTGACTTTCCTGGGAAAGGCCCTGTAGATGTTGCCCTCATCTCCAAAATAAGTCTTTGGGTAAAAAAGACCTGAGGTTGCAGACCTGCTCTAACAGCTGCAAGGCCAAATGTCCATTTTGAAAGGATTTTAACAGCGTTTCCTTTGCCACCATCATCAAGGGTAGCTGTGTATACATCAGAGAACAGCAGCAGGCAGTGTGTTCCCCAGCACACTTTCGTGGGGTACATATGTATGTGTGTATGTAGGAATGCATGTACGGGGCAGCATGCTGGGGGCTGTCCCTTAAATTCCACTGATCCTACACAAAACAGAGGGCAAAACCAGGACTCTGCAGGAGTGAGCTTAAATTACACACGAGTTCAGTGAGTATTTCTAAACAGCCTTCGCTGGAAGAAAGAACAAGAGGCAACAGGCTGGAAGAAATCCAGAAAAAAGATGGAAATTCCAAGCCCAGGCTCAGTTGTGACTGTGTTTCTGTCTGCTCTGTTTTGCGGCGCTACAGGCTTGGGGAAGAGTGGCTGGAAAGCAGAGAAGGACCAAGGATGGACACCTGGCTGGAACTGAGCCAGCAGTGTGCCCAGGTGGCCAAGAAAGCCAACAGCATCCTGGCTGGAATCAGGAACAGCGCGGCCCGCAGGAGCAGGGAGGTGGCTGTGCCCTTGTGCTCGGCACCGGGGAGGCCGCACCTCGAATCCTGTGCTCAGCTCTGGGCTCCACGCTACAAGGAAGACACTGAGGTGCTGGAGGGAGTCCAGAGAAGGGCAACACGGCTGGTGACGGGTCTGGAGAACAAGTCTTACGGGAAGCAGCTGAGGGAACTGGGGTGTTCAGTCTGAAGGGAAGGAGGCTGCGGGGAGACCTCACCGCTCTCCGGAAC